TGAAAATCTGTGGTCAACCAAATTCAAATGCTTACTATATTATATGTATTTAAAATGCTCATTTTGCACTGATGCTAGATGATAATTTTGTAATTAATTTTTGCCATTTTTTCCCATTAGGCTGACAAAGCCTACATGTTGCGAGAATATACATCCAGAGAAAGCAAAATATCAAGTTTAAAGGTATTGCATTTTTTTTAAATGGCTTTTTTTTTTCTGTTTGCTTTTTAAAATTGTTTTCTGGTCAGCATAGAAAATACTGTGTCTGTAAGTCGTTCTTTGTTACGTTTGGAGTTGATACAGAGGAAAAACCTTTCTGCTCATGCAACTTTCAAGGCAGATTTGCATTTGTAAATGTTCAGATCACATGACAAGATACGGAATTAGGTTACTTTTTTCTACTTTTGAGTTAACAAGATATTTTTATTATTAGTTTTTTCATAGAACCGTTCAGCCACAAAATCCATGTCCATGTCTCATGATGCTAAATTTCAGGGCTGGTTGTGTGCTTGCAAGTAGTATTAGGGGTTAAGATCTGCTTGGTAATAGACTCAATCAGTTTTTCTCACATAAGTTTAATAGCCCACCTTAAAACTCTAGTAATAGCTCAATAATTTGTGGTGCATTTGGAGTTGCAGGTGTTGATTTCTGTTCTTGACCCAACACCTGATCTTGAGTATTCTTGTTACTTTCCTTCTCCCTTGTTTTTCCTTCATCTGTGACTCATGTGTTACTACCCTTCTGGGGGAATATTTTTGTAAAATGCTTTTTTTTTTTTTTTTTTTTGGAGGAAAGGAGCACTTTATGATTTCTTAACAATATGTGATCCCTATAAACAGGACTAAATCCAGGCATGAGCGTTTTGATAGTTTCATGGTTTTTGAAATATGAATCAATGATCTAAGTTTTACTTCACCTCATGTTTAAAAATTACCATCTACGCTGTTAATTAATTTTTACTGCCCATTGTTATAGAAGGGAAATGCATATGGCTTTTCAGTTCCTTAGATCAGCTTGCGTAGGTAAAGCAAAGCTTTGCTTAGGTTTGAAATAACTGAAACAGCAGTATGATTCCTTATGTGTTAGGGGTAGCCAAAATACGGGCTGAATTTGAATAGCTCTGGATATACTTCTTAAAGAATGCTGTTGGGAAGTTCAAAGATAGTTTGCTCAGTATAGATTTTTTCTTTTTTTTTCCATCAAATATCTTGTATGTGGTAGAGTTAAGTTGTCTACAGGAATCTCCAGAGGAAGATATTGATTAACTTAATGAAACCACCGTACTTCTTCAAATATGAAATTAAAATCCAATGAGTTTTAGTATTTCATATAAATGTCTGTGGTGGACTTCATAAAACTAAGATACGTGTTGAGGCTTATCAATTATCAATAGCTAAATCTGAGCAAGTCCAGTGAATATATTGCCATGGCTTAAAGACATTAAGTGTGGGATCTGTTGTGGCCATCCTAGTCTCGTCTAGAACTAGAACCTCAAAAAGAATGTTTGTTACATTCAAGTGATAAATACATTTTTTAAAAGCATTGTAGCTGCTCATGAATGTCTCTTGACTTTCTTGTGCTTTTATAGTCTGCTGCTAAAAAACATCAAATACTTTTCCTTAGCCTTTTGATCCACCCAAGGAGTAAAAGACTGTATGTACATTTGAAATTATAAGATGAATTTTAATAATCATACCTGACTTCAGGTGTTTAAGTCAGGTAAATTACAGATTAATTGTCTGTAAAAGTTTGGTTTGGAATACCTTTCCCGCCCTTCATTCACTTTTTCATGTAAAATTTTTGCTTCTTAGCATGTTCCACCTTCCTTGTTCACGGAACCTAATGAGATCTCTCAGTATCTACCCATAAAGGAGACAATCTGTGAAAAACTAGAATTCCCAGAGAAGCTGGAGCCTAAACCAGAAGCATCACTGGAAACCATGTGTGTTAAGTCTAAATAAATGTGACTTTATATGGACTTGAAGTAGACTGGAGGTAATGTGATCATGTAACCATTGCCATGGGGGGCGGTTTCACTGCTAGTGGAATAAAGAATTTGGCTAATTTTTCTGTAGCCCTGAGGAAAAAAAAAAAAATTTCAAGCAGATTTTGCTAATGGTGTTTTTTGTTTGTGGTTTTTTTTTTTTTTTAACCTGTATCTGGAGTTAATGATAGACTGGTGGTGAGTGATAGTTTTCAACGGCATTGGAGAAAGACTGTCACGATTAAGAGTCTGGGTTCTGTTTAGTTCACTGGTTAGGCAGGCGTATTGTCTGGACCCTCCACCACAAACACTTCTATGAAGTTTTGGGTTTTTTTATTGCTGCTGCAGACACTAAGAGACTACTGGAGTCATAAAATAGGCATGATCTTATTTTTATTGAGAAATCATCCACAGTAAAAAAAAAAAAATAATTATTTTGAGCTGTCAGTCCTAAACTGTGTTTTGCTTGGCTGCCCCTACTGTGAGCTGATAACCAACTAAGTTACTTTTTGGAGTTTCTGATCCAGACTAATTTAAGAATATTCATTTAATCTGAGGATAGGCTTAAGAAGAAAAAAAAATTGTTTGACGCTATATAAAGGTAAAATTACCTTATTTGTGAGGCATTAACTCCAGAGCAGGAGAAAAACTGGAGGTTAACAGAGACACACACTGGCAAGTCTCCTCACAAATACTAGTTTAATCTGATGTCATCCAGATTCCTTGAGGCAGTTCTGGAGACTGTTAGTTCAGGTCCGTATGCTGCTACAGTCATGTACCATATTGGAAACGCATTGTACTGTATTGACCTGTTGGACATACTGGATGGTGCCTATGCATGACGGTTATACTGCCCTGACAGTCAAATTGCTAAACTGCAGAGTAGCTTAAGGCTGGGGAAGAGGAGGACATTTAGCCTCTAACCCCTGGAGGATGCTGGTATTTGCAGTTTTGAGAAACAAGATCCTATATAGCCTTAAAAGGGTGCTAACATGTATTCCAGATACATCATTTTGGTTTATTTTTAAAATTCTTTTAAGTTCTGATATTAATAGAAGTGTGATCACATGTATAGTCATGGTTTTAACTCAACGCTTTGTAGATTAAACTTCAAATATTTGTATTGCTTTTGGAAATCCTAAATTATGTTAATGGTTTGGCCTAAGAATGGGGGAGCTACACTGACTTGTCCAGGTTTACTGCTCGCACTCAATGAAGTGCAAGAAGCAAATGACTGTAGCGAAAAGCAGGCCTTGTGGTTTAAAGTGATGGCAGATAAGAACGTGTACACGTTCTGATGTCTTGGAGTTTTTATTTAAAAAATTTTCATATTCTACACTGCATGGCTTAACAGAACCAACCCACCTCAAAACCTGATATTTAACCAGGTCTTCTGAGAAATGATTTTCACTTAGAGAAGACCCTGAGGTTTTTAGAAAAAAGTCTGCTGCTGTCTAAGTGACTGTTTTCGTAATAAAAACAAACAGCACACTTTGTTTCACTTTTATTTGAGGCAGCCTGGTGTAATGAATTGATCATAAGGTGGAAAGGCAGGAACTAACTGCAGTTTTTCCTGTCCCCCTGATTTACTCTAACCACAGGGAAGTCACTTCTCTGTGCCTCAGTTCCTTGTATATAAAAATGAGAGATAATACATGCCTACCTCCCTGAGGGTCTGTGAGGATTACTTTGTAAGAAGTTGTAACAAGTTATTGATTAGAATATTTTTTTTTTTCCTGAATACACCTTCAGCCTTATCTTTGGAATCCTTTGGAAAGGATTACTGCAAAAAATCTTATGATCCGTAGGATAAAATGAGTGAAGAGAACTGAAATTAAACAGTCGCTGAAAGAAATTATTATCAGCTGGACATGATCTGGCTGAGTGAATTTATGCCTGCTTTGAAATAGAGGTGAGGTCCTTTATATTCCCCATTAGAGTCCTAAATTCTGTTGGCTTTTTTTCATCTTCCTGCACTTGCTTCCTAAAGATTTTAGTGTCAGGATGAAGAAGGGGCTGCAAATGAATGCAGTGTGGAAGTGATCAAAATCCATTTGGTACTAGATTATTATTATTTAGGTCCACTCCAGTGATAGAGGGATATGGGGAGAGAGTGAAAAGGAAGAGAACAACAAATCCCCATTTGTTGTTGTGAAGAGGTTTTGCTGGTAGAAGTAAATCACAGCACTTCTTTTACTCTAAGCATATATTATTTCACATACCTTAAAGGCTTATAAAAACACACTTTAAAGCTGGTAGTGACTGAGAGGAGAGCTGATGTAGTGCTAACATGAAAGAAACTGTATCTGCTTCGTTAATTAAAATTGTGAATTGGGTTTTGTCAGTGATGCTAACATTAAGCTCCGTTGGGCTAAAGTTTGGGGGGGAGGGAACCCACAGAACTGACACCTAGCATTGAAAAGGGTGCTCTGCATGTTTAACTTAGACTGTGTATTTTATCTCGTCCATCATACATACTAATTTGTGACCTGTTGATACAGTTGTCTTGAATGGACTTGAATCCTGACTATATAGATACATAATATCCATCTGTTTTGGGTGCTGTGCATTTAAGTGGAACACACGTGTTGGGGAAATCACAAGAACATGTTTAGGAAGTTACAGTTACTACAGAGTAAATCTTGGAGCGCTTTTCATCCATGGACTCTCTCATACCACACAGATTATCAAGAAGCAGCAGTATAAACTGGTGTACCGCAAGCTCTCTGGTACAAATTTTCCACAGAAAAGTACCACTTGGGGTACCTAATTTTAGGGGGAGGGAGCGGGGTGATTCTCCAGCTGTTTTGTGGCGAGTTTGACATGTGGCAGTTTATATTCTTTCTTGTATGTCGCTAAATAAAATGTACCAAACATTTTATAGTTCTGCTTTTATCTGAACAAAATAAACTGAAATAACTGCTCGCGATGCTGAATTTTGCATGCTAGTAAGATGTTGCATCCATGTGCCTTTGCCTGCCATCAGACCCACTCTGGCTGATGCAAAGAAGGCAAGATGTTTTCAGAACACGGTAGTGGGAGCAAAATGAAATCTGCTACTATTTCTGTAAGTGTCACTGTTACCGTTCAAAAGTTGTGGGAGGAGATAGGATACAACTAGGGAAGTAAAACTGGCAGCGGGTGCGGACTCTTACTTTCCGAAAGCCTGGAAAACAAGAGGGCAGGTCAGGCGCCAGCTATTGTATGCTCGGAAGAGTAAGAAATGCCTGACTCCCAGGGAAAGCGGGAGCGTTTGCTGTCTCTTAAAAAAAAAAAAAAACCAAAAAAAAAAACCAAAAACAAACCCACCAAAGCCTCTGACTTCCCGTGGAGATAATCGCTCTGCCATGTGAGCCTGGGACGGGGCGCTGGGCTGCTCTGTCTCGGTCTCGCTGCTGAGGAAGGTTTGCGGTGCTGGAGCTCGCGCTCCCGCTGCAGGAGGCTGCCACCGGACGGCGGGGGAGGCAGGCACGGGGCCAGCTACGCCATTCCCGGGACCTTGCTCCCCTCAGAGCCTCTCACCCGGCCCCCCGTGACGGCCT